CGCGATCCAATACTTCCCCAGGTATCTACAATATCACTGTCACTTGTGGCAGTGTTTTGAAGGAGGGTACTGACATTTAAGCTGTGGGTACGTGTTTTAAGCTAAGGACGATGAGAGAAGTCCAACGACATGGTGTATTGAAATGGTTCTGGGATTTATTTGCCGTCTGCAGGCGACTAGAACTCACGACGGGAAAAATGACCTCGAGACAGATGGCTTCCTTATTGAAACATTTCTGACACTGAAAATGAGTTTCCATTAAGATACCGGAAGACGCTGGTTTATGGGACCACCGTAGCTGTGGAAGTCACTGGATTTCAGGGGACTACTGGAAGTCATTGAGATGCTGGAAATTTACTAGAAGTCATTGGAATGATGGAAGCTACTGGTGTTCAGTAGAATCCCGAAAGCCACCGGAATATTGGTACCGGAATACTCAAGTACTAAAATTCACAGGGCGCTCACTGGTCCACACAAGGTTCTGCAAGCTCCTTGGGAAGTGTGTCTATATCGGACGCTGGTAGATTAGGTGCGCATTCAATCGATTACACCAAATAGATCTGAAATTTTGTCTTTATTTTTACGATTAGAAACATTGAATGAGTATAGAACTAGAAATATGACATTCCATGCCCAGGATATCAATATACTATCAAATATAAGCTAGCGCCGCTGACAATGATGACGTTGAAGCAAAGTAGACTAACATCTCAAGCGGCTGAAAGTATTACCCAAACCCAGAGGGAAGGTATGAATGAAAAAAGCTCAGTACCAGGAAAAACGTAGGTGAAAACACTGTAGGAGGTCATTTTAGGAAGAATTTAACCCACTGCATGTGTTAGTTAATGTAGAATTATGGGGCATGGCATACATAAAAAGAAAAATATATCTTGCTCACAATCATAAGAATACACTGCTCAATGCAAGTGATGGCAACAGACTTTCTGAGGGTGGCATAACAGAATTAATAAACTATTAAAAAAAAGCATGTGATAACACAGATTCACAAAATACAGAAGATAATTGCACATTAGAACTGACTACAAATGGCTTGTAAGAGGAGAATGAAAGGTCATAAATAAAAAAGAACACCTGTGAACACAAATGACCCCCACAGAAAAACATTGCACATCAGAAGTTAGTGCGAAATGTGTGACATTTTAAATTATCAAAAAAAAATAGCATCTGCCAACCCAACTGACTCAGAAACACAAACAAAAGATATTGCACACAACTGGCTCTTTTACAGTGAGGCCTCTTGCAAAGAGGCCACCTGATGTATATGAAAAGATACACTTCGGTGGCTCCGAGTAAAGTCTGGGAGTTAAACGGGCACTGAAGTGATTTGTTAGATTGTCTTTTTAGAGTCATAACTCAATCAACTTGCTCTCAACATTCTAAGAAAAACAAAATGACAATCCTGCGCAACCTATTCCCCTAGTAAAAACATTATCAAAATCACCGACACGCTCTTTCTTTACAACCAAGTGAAGTCATCAACGAAGAGCGTCTGTGGACGAATTGCAAGCGATGGCTTCGCCCGGAGTCAAATTAGACTTAGTTGATAGTGTGCGTATCACTGTTTTCAAAACAAGTTAAAATAAAATTCTACGGAATCTGCAGATATTGTCGGACTTTCACTGGCTCAGGGGATGTAGTTTGCGAGTGAACAAAAGTATGCATGTTTTTCTATCGCACGGAGAATAGGCAGTTTTGTAATTTAGAACTTGACATGTATTATTTAAAACCTTGTAAACAATATCACACCAAAAACAATTTTCTGTAAGAACCACTTCAGTGGTTCTCAGTGGTTCACTTTCAAGAGAAAGAAAAGGAACCATGGGTTTTGTGTCACAAAAATAAACCATGAATCGGAGAAAGCTTAAGTCTGCAGGAATGTGACGCTTGCCGCTTCTGATGCAATGAGAAAGTTTGGGAAAATGACGCTGGTTGTGTGATGCTAGCCTACAGAGGTGGGCACAGCGGCAGGGCACCCTGCAAGATGTTGAGTAACCCACCTCTGTTGTCCACGCAGCTGTTGCTGTTTCTCGGTGCTCCCGCCGCCTCCAGCCAGCCAATTCAACGGTACCGCTTACAGCATCAAAGGTTCTTCGCGTCATGTTACTTCTTACGGACTGCCGCGTGGACGTTGTTATCGCTCGGGGAAGCACCACCCACCACTGAGCCGGACCAACCACTCATCGACATGTCATTCTTCGTCCCAGCACCATCGTCATCAACGGCAGGCTCGGAGAAGATAATCAGTTGCCCGCCATCGGATCACCTCAGTGGACACAGCGGCAGGGCACCCTGCTAGATGTCGCTTAGCCCACTTCTGTTGCTCACGCAGGTTAGTAAAAAAAATGTATCGGTTTTTCGAAGTGATGATAGATGTCTTGTTCTGCTGTTGTGCCCAAGCGGTGCGTTTTGTTTTTTGTCAGACTGTAAAAAAAATTTTGCTAATGCTAGTGGGGGACACCGAATCTAACCCGGGTCCCCTGAAAAAAGATCAGCAACAGCTTATCTTGCGAAGTCTGGCTACTTTGCCACCACTACAGGTCGGTCGAACGGCGCTTTTTAACGAACTAAAACAATTCAAACCAACCAGAAGTCGGTGGACGAAAAGCTAGCAGCATTAGCAACCAGGCTCACATCGGTAGAGGCTAACTTGGAGTCTGTTCCGCAACTGCGGAATGATGTCATTTGCCTCCTTACTTCTACAGCTGAGTTGGCTTCTCAGGTTAAAAGCTTGGCTTCGCAGTGTGAAAATCTTGAAGGTCAGTCAAGGAGGTCTAATCTGATTTTTTATGGGATACCTGACAGTTCTGGAGAGACTTGAACTGCCTCTGAAGCTAAGGTCATTCCGCTTTGCCAGGAGACTCTTGTTATGAAGTTTGATGCCTCGTTTTTTGGAACGTTCCGATAGGCTAGGAGCGTTCCGATCTAATAGAAACAGGCCTATTATCGCGAAATTTACATCATTCAAACTAAAACAAGACGCTTTGTTCAGCGCGTCGAAATTAAACGGTACCGCCTACTGGCTCAGCGAGGATTTTTTGTTGAAGACCAGAAATGAACGCAAAAAGAACTTTTAGAGGTTGCCAGAAACTAAAACGCCAAATTTCAACTTTGGTATAATCGCTTATACATAGGTGACCGAAAGTTTTACGTCGATCCAATCACACTTTCTGTAAAAAAAGTAATGACACTTAACATTTAAAGTAATGTAGACTGAACAATGCAGCTATGAATGATATACTGGTTTTGAACTGCAATTGTAGAAGCATTAGGAACAAAATCGACGACTTTGCCGCTCTCATGTCGGTCACTAAGGCAAGCACTGTCATTGGAAGAGAATCTTGGCCGAGGAGTCTATCTCGGATCTGGACGTTTTCTCGTCGCACTTCGCTATTTATCGTAAGGATCGAAATGGCAACAGCGGGGGGGGGGGGGGGGGGGGGGGGGGTTCTGCTGATTTTTGACAGATTAAAACGTTCCTTGGTAGAAATCAACGGCTTATCGTGCGAATCCGTTTGGTGTCGTCTCCCTTGCTAACGGTGATAATATTACTTTGGGTTCATTTTACAAATCGCCATCAAGCAACGTAAACTCTATTTTTTCTTTGTACAAGGTTCTGTCTGTGGTAGCAGCAGGTTTATTTCTTATTGGTGGTGATTTTAATTTACCGGATATTCAGAGGACAGAACTCAAAGCGTCTATTTATAACCATACCGGTATATACTCAGCATTTGTTAATCTTTCAGTCTATGCTGGTGGCGCAAACTTCATTGTAAAGAAAACTTCATCAGTCGCCCATTGGCTGCTGCTCCTGAGGACGAGCTGTGACGTCACAGTAGTGTTCTGGCGATAAAGTTTGGTGCATGCTCGTCAAAATTGTAAAGTTCGCCGTGACGTCAGAATGTCGTCACGATGAAGTTGTTTCTGTAAAGAAAACTTCGAGAGCTTGGGAGCTCAAAGTCGCGAAAGTTCATCGGCAAAGATGGCGGAACTTTGTTGTGCGCTGTTGGTCTCCCAGCGTGCCGACAGAGTGTTTCGGGAGCACCGCGACGCCTTTCTGCTGTCGGAAGATAGGTTTGTCGCGAATTATCGACTAACGAAGGGAGCAACGAGTTGGCTGTGCGAGCAGCTCCGCCCCGACCTACAACCGGACCGCACGACCGTTCGCGTCATCACCGTCGAGCAGCAGGTGTTGTGCGCCCTGCGTTTCTACGCAGCCGGCGGTTTTCAAGGAACGGTGGCTAGCGACGAGCACTTGGCGGTGCATCAAAGCACCGTGTCTCGTGCGCTCCACGCCGTCACGACCGCGATCGTCGAGCGCCTGGCGGATCGCTGGATCCGTTTTCCGGCAACGGAGGAAGAGAAAACGAGAGCCAAGGAGGGCTACTGGAGAGTCGGAAAAATCAGCGGCGTTGTCGGTACGTAATGGGCGATTTTGTTCATCCAACGTGTCCGGGAGCTCTTAGGAAAAGATACGCGTGCATCCCCAGCGATCGTCGAAGAATGACGGCTCGGGGAGTGGTCGCGACGTGCTCGGGACAGGAGTGCTTTTTGCGCCGCTCCCGTCGCGCCACTGAACTCTCTTTTTGTGAACAGTAGATTTGCCTATAGCTGGATCTAATAACCCTATCACGTCACAGGATGCGTGGTCGGCACCCAAATCGCCATCGAGGGCCCGTCTGAGAACGACTCGCGCTTCACGAAGGCAGTCTACTGGTGTAGGAAGTACTACTATGCCCTGAATGCGATGATCGTGAGTACCGAGTTTCTCTACTGTGCGCGTGACCCGGCATCGAGAGGCGTAAGTGTCGAGTACAATTAACCCGTCTGGCTGTGTCGTCAGTTTGTGACAGAAGTAACTATCTTGTCCCTGTCGATCGCTCAAAAGTATCTTTTTGGGGCAATGATATTCACAGTTATGAGCCTACTTTCCCAGGTTTGTGATGCTGACCTCAGGATCCTGAACGTGGATGCAACATTTCCCGGCTCGGTTCACGACTCCTTCGTGTGGAGGATGTCGTTCCTGAGGGAAGCATTCCTGCAAGGCCACTTCCTACGAGAGGACGAGTGCCTGCTTGGTGAGGCTGTGTAAACAAGTGCTCAGTGTGTTTTGTGTACCCCAACTAACATACACTGCCCAGCCAAAAAGCAGAAGGAAAACCTACCGATTTCCGTGTACATCCACCTTTGGCACGCAAAACAGTTTCAGAGGTCGGCTGCTGCAGAGTACCATATTCAACAGAGTACATATGCATGATGCATTTCCCATCGCTCCACAACTCATAAAGTTCCCAATACAATAACCCCCCCCCCACCCCAAATAAGAATAGATTCCTCGCTACACCACTGACACGGAGATGCAGACACCTTTGTTGCATGACACATCGGTTCCTTTCTTTGCCCGACGTTCAGAGTAGAGGATCAGTGTGTGGTGAACACAGAAGACAGAACAAAGGTAGCAACAAATCGACGTGCAACCTAAACCAGAAACTGAAATAACAGCAAATCATTGCAGCTCGCTGGTATGCTCTCTTTGCAAAACCATTATCATACTCAATGCAGGAGACAGTGGGTATCCCCTTGAGCCGTGGCTCCTCAACCCCGTGCTAGGAAACCCTGCAGTGGGATCTGACGAGGCCCGCTTTAACCAGGCCCATCGATCCACGAGATCCGTGGTTGAGCGGTGCATCGGCATGCTCAAGAACCGGTTTCGGTGTCTGCAGAGATACCTAACCTTGCACTACGACCCCATCCGGTCGTGCAACATCGTCACGGCTTGCTCCATCCTGCACAATGTGTGCTTGTACATAAATGCACCGGAACCAACACCCGAGCCAGAGCCAGTCACTGTCGTTGAGCCAGAGCCAAGTGATTCGAGCGACAGCGACTCTGACGACCCCTTGACTGGGAGTCTCCACGACCGGGGCATGGTGGTTCGCCAAAGGAAGGTACGGCAGGTGGCGAGTTATGCGACTCGCAAGGGCTCATCAACATTGCCTCGAGCTCCTCACCCAGCCCACGCACCACAAGCCCCAAGAGCGCCTCGTCGACAGCGGGCTCCTCGTGCGCACCGAGCCCCTCGTTCACAGCAAGCCCCTCGTGCACAGCAAGCCCCTCGTGCACAGCAAGGGCCTTGTGCACAGCAGGGACTGCAGACCGTGCAGACATTGTAACGTGGGTCGCGATAATAATGTGATAGCTAGTAAAGGGTTCTTGGGTGTCCGTCCAGTTGCTGGCTCCCTCGTAGAGCATCTGGTCGGAGTTAGTGTCGTTCTCTATCGAGTTACGTTCTCTACTGCTATCGTCGAGGGTTGTGTATCCAATGTTGCAGATCAAGACTTCGAGCTTCCTGTTCTTGGTGGAGATTCTTTTGTACCCCCAGGCTGGGTGTTACAGATTGAAGTCCCCACCTATAATGCTGTTGGCATCCTTACACATAGTTTCTCCAAACACGGGTTTCAAACTTCTGTGTAGACTCTGGATGGACTGTACACATTACATACATACAATTTTCGTTCTTTTTTGCTTGTGGGCGTTGGCTGCAGGGAATTAATTGTCAGGGCACTAAGCTGCTCCTCATCGTGCTGGGTGACTTCTTGAGTCACGAGGATTGTAATAACCAGGGTGGCAACATTCACTGGCGTTCCGTGTTGTTGTAGGCTCGCAAGTGTTATACCCTGTCAACCTCGGTGTGCCCATGGTCTTCTGTAAGTGTGTTACATCTGGTTTTTGTTTTATCGCCCCCATTAATGTGTCAGGAGGCATCTCTTGCTTTTGCAATTCCTACAATTCCATTGCCAAAGGTATCTTGATGAAGGGGGGTGGTGGGTGCACACGGAGTGGTGTGGTTAGAGATTGTCTGCAGTGTTGCTGGTGTTGTTGCCATCGACACTTTACGGGTTCGTGCACTGGGATACATGTTGTAAAGCTTTTGTGTGTAGCATTAGTCCCAAGCCTGGCTAGTCAGGTCTGCATGACTTCCAGCATTTGCTGCAGTCTGCCCATAGCTTTCCCCAGAAGAGGATCAGTTGCTTGAGCTTGTTGAGGCGCTTGGTTCAATCACTTGCTTTCATTGTCAGTTTTGAAATTATATGAAGCGAAGCAAACACATTGTTTTTCCTTTTACACTTTTTTTACTCACTCCCTTTGCTAACGATGAAGTTTGCAATTCTGCCTATTGCAGAAGACTGCGCTTGCAGTGCCGTGGTCTGCGCTTGCAGTGTACTCGCCTGCACCTCCATGGCCTGTGTTATGTTATAAGTTCAGGTCAAACCGCCGAAGGAGGAATTCAGTCACACCGTGAGGTTTGATCAAGATATATATATATTTAAAAAAAATTAACAAAAAATAAGAAACGTTTTAGCTATACACAAATATACGGGTCAGAAATTGTCTCACTTTCAGTCCGTCCTTGTGTGGCTGAAGGTCTTGGTGCTGTCTTGTTTTCAGCAGCGCTTGGTTGTTGATGAGTTTTGTTCCTAGTTGATGGTCTGGGATGCTCTGCTCCGGGACACCGCCGAAGTCGTTCCCAGTGATGTTCCTTGGGTATTCCTTGAGGCTGGTCTGGGGTGTTCTGCTCCGGGACACCGCCGAAGTCGATAATCTTTCCCACCAGCGGCTACTTCGGATCGCTGCCGAATGCCTCGTTCATGCCGGATGTTGCCGCTTTGGTTGCACACCGCCAAGCTGATGTTTCACCCAACAGTAGCACCCTCGGGACGTTGCCGGGTGTGCTTCCACCTGGTCGGGTTACCGCCGAACAAGACCCCTCTTCTTCCTCTTTTTTTTTTGCCCCCTTTTCCTCCGGCCTGCTTCCTCGACGTTTTCCTCTTCTGCTCCATTTTTTTTTCTGTTGTAGCACGACAGCCAACAAAGAGATGTACAATACAAATAGGCAATTAAACTATGTGAAACAAATGTATTTTGACAATTTGTTCTAATCATGCAACATTATATAAGTTTATAGCTATATGTTTCTCATAATATTTACCGCATCCTTTGTACAAAGAGGCATTATTGTACACTCTGGATAGCAACTGAGGGGAGAAAACGAGTCAAAGTGGAAGGGGATACACACCCTCGGACAGGCACGTAGCCAGGATTTTTTAGGGGCTAGCCATGTCCGTCCGCCATTGGGTGCACGTGCTCCTGCTCATGAGCTCACGTAGGGGAAAAAAAACAGCCGCATCTCCACGTGGTGAATGATATTGATTGGGGCGAAGCTCTGGTGGTGCTTGTCCGCATAGACGGTGAGCCGCAGCATGCCGAGCCTTTCGTTCGTTTTTCATCCATGTCAGAAAGAGAATGTGTGGTATGGAACGTGGTTATATACGCATTTGAGCATTTGACCGCAGCGTGACATGGATGAAAACGAAGGAAAGGCTCGGCATGCTGCGGCTCTGCGTCTACGCAGACAAGCACCACCAGAGCTTCGCCCCAATCAACATCATTCACCACGTGGAGATGCGGTTGTTTTTCTAAGGGAGGGGGGGGGGGCGCTTACGACAAAATGCTGTATAAGGGGAAGAGGAGGCCCCAGAAAAATGGAAGATTTCGGGGGGGGGGGGGGGGGGGCTGTGTATCCTGGCTACGTGCCTGCCCTCGGACCAGAGTGTTCAGCCTGAATTTCACCGAGGACACCATCTGCTCCAGCTATTTTCGGAAGGGACACTTAAAATTAAACTTTAATGAAACATATATGTTAATTATTGCGCTCGGACATGTTCTCTTCCTTCCTGTCGTCGCACCACTAAATCTAGTAAAATACTCAGACGCGTGTTTCACTGGGCAGATGGTGCTCCTCAGAGAGCTTTCTAGATGCTTCCAGACAGCTGTACATGGGTGCCGCCCCAACCAACCTTTACTTTTTGTTTCCTCTTATTCTGTTCGCTTCACTTTATCATTACCATAGCAGGACAGGGAATTGCCACTTTAGATGTTACTGTGCCCTTCTCTTCTGCATATGCCTTTGTGGAAGCTTGTCAACGCCCGCTTCAGTGGCTCGGCACCTCAGAAGGACAAAAGAAGGCCAGCAAAGGCGGCTCAATCTGGCGCGTGTTTAAAGTGTCCATAAGAGATTGGCAAAAAATAGAGAGGCCTTACACGGGCACAGAAGGAAACAAATGCAACACTGTGAAATTAATCATTGATAATGGGAACAAAGTTTGCTGCCTAGCCATAAGAGGTCACAACATGAGGGAATAAACAATGATCAGAATACTTGCATCGGCCAAGCGGTTGACAGCCGCAGCGGTCTCCTGCTGTGCTGCCAGCACCAACCAGTCTTTGGACGGCGAGAATGTCCGCCAGTGTGGGCTCATCCCTGTTGCGCCGCCTTGGAGGGTCGCTCCGTGGCTGCGTCCTGGGGGGATCCAGGGTAGCTGTACACAACAAAGAGAATGCTCACCTTTTGAATAGAACACAATGCCGGCATCACCAATCTTTACAAAGTAGGCACTTTTGTTTCATTTGCTTTATCTCGATTCCGGTTTTCAAATGGGCCCTTTTGTCTCCTTTTTATTTTGGGAGCACCGAGTAGCTGCAGCATTGTGCGCAATGTGTTTGTTTCATACATGCCGGTTTTGGTTTGGTGGGGCAAGCAGTCTTAACACGGAGCAATACTTGAACTTGTCAACTGGATTTTTTTTATTTTCCTCACATATAGATCAATAAAATGCTGTATAGATTACCTATGTGTCATGGGGTGTGACCTGTGTGACACTTAATGTTAGAAGTGTTTGCCAGTTTTTTTGTTTTCTTTATAATTAAAAGGTTGTCGTCGAAACTACTAGCATGGAGAAAAGTTCTCAATTGGAGCACTAATCTAAGCAGTAAAATGTGAGGTCCGCCAATACCCCTTAATATGTTAACTGTGAAAAAGTGCCAATGTCGTGTTTGCACTGACGGTGTAGCACAGTGTACATACACTATATTTTTAGTAGGTACTTTTAATTCAAATGTGACGGTGGTAAAAACTTCGACAGAGGTCAATTTAGAACAGCCATCATGGGCACTCTCCCAGCTGCGCATCCATAGCTATGATGCTCACTGCAGTCTTCATGTTGGTCATGTGCACTGCAGACAGCTTTCACCATTTCATACAACTGCCAAAGTGGGTATGAAACCTGTTAGTTCAGGCAATTGGGGGGATCCTGAGTTTCAAGGGCAAAGACGAGGGAGACCTCTTAGTGATTGGCCTTGATGCCTCGAGCAGCAAGTTAGCTAATTGGGACCCAGGCTCCAAGAAGTGTGGGCGAATAGTGAATATATGTCAGTTATCGCTGCTGATTATGTCCAGTGCGTAAAAATTGCACTACTTTTCAAGTTTCTTTACTGTAACATTAGCTTCACGTTCAAAACTGCTTTGCAGATCAGCTTCCAGTGTGAACGGGCCATAAGCAACACACAAGATCAATGTGGAAATAAAGAGTCAACCCTGTATAAATTGGGCACAAACAAAACATTACCTTCATGCACGTCACAAACCCCTTTAACGTGTGGCAGCATCACTTCTGTCAACTCGATTCAGCTGGCCCATTCATTTGCATCGCTGTTCATAAACTTGCATCTTTAGACAGAGCATTTGAATAATCGCCAAGACCCAAACAAATTTAATATAAAATTGCTCAACTTGCCGAGTTCTTTTTTTTTTTTTTGCAAGAGATTATTTTATTTGAGAGCAGTACATCATGATCCCAGTGTGTCAAAGCTGTGATCGTGGACCACTAGTCATTACCTCCGACAATGGTTCTGTCACTTAAGTGACATGCCATTTCATTAGAGTGAGATGTGGTCTCCTGCAACATGAAAACCCACAAGGAGCGCGTGGCTGAGACGGTGGTTGGCATCGTTGCTGCGCGCGCTCTGGGTGATTCCATTCCATCCCGAGGGGAAAACTCACTCGGGACTCAGCTAAAGCGTCATATGCACTCAGTTTCGGTTTTTCTGCGGAGGGCAGTTCGTCAGCGTCATGACGCGGCTATGTCCTACTAACGCGGCAGGTGCTGTCTGAGAGAGCGCAGCCTGAGCCAAGGCGACTGTTTGGACTCTGATAAAGCACAATATTGATGCCATCCCTACCAATGAATGCGCTCTTGAACAAATTTTATCTTTTAAATATAGGACTCAGGTATAACTTCAATATTTGTTTATTTTGCAGTGCCTGTTCGAACATTTTACACCAGAAACAACTGATAAAAACATTGATAACTCATATGTTTCAAGCCTTCATGACCATATCTTTGGGCATGACGTCGATAAAGCGCACGCTTCCGCTAAACCGAAAGCAAAAACTGTAAAGTGCGTCCATGCTCGGCTGAGCACTGAGTGTCTTCCTCTCGAAGCAGAATGGAATCGCCTGAAGCGCGTGCAGCGACCCTGCCAGCCACCGTCTCAACCACGCACTCCCAGTGGGTCTTTCAAATTGTAGAAAACTGTACAAGCCATTGATAGCTTTTCTCAATGCATACAAGAATTACTGAATGCATGTGTCTCCTGTCAACAGGGGAGTTAGTTCCTATTCACCACAATCAGCAGCCGGCTGTCCACCTCCAGAAGGAGCTGCCTGGCTGGCCGGCTGAAGCGGCACCTCTGGAGGCGCCCCCAGGCTCTCTTCTTGGTAGAGAAGCTCTGCTGGCAGTGGAGGCTGCAAAGCAGATTCGCTGTAATCACTGCTACCCCTCTACTGCACTGCAACACGTGTAGTTCCTTTTCAACACAAAACAGCATTTGTTTTTTCTTGCTGGTTGGCCAGAATGTTTCAATATAAAACGGGTATATTAATGTTCGAGCAAAGAATTTGTGCACATGGTAGTTTGCAGCAGACTGGAGTCCTATCACACAAAAGGTTGTGGTTCAGAGGCTCCAACGGTGTTAAGATTTATGTGCAATGTGCAACACCATAAGTGCTAACACGAGA